CAAATATCACATACAACATAACATAATAATAAACTATGGGTTACCAGCAACCTTGGAACTATCAGTAGTCCTAAGGACTATCAGCAATCCTATGGGCTCACAACAGCCCTATGGCATATCAACGATACTATGAGTTATCAACAACCCTGAGGAGTTTTAGTAGTCCCGAATTTATCAACAAATCAATAAATACATATACAAATAATTAGAAAATAAGGTTCACCATTGTGACATAGGTAATATACTGAGATGAATCACCTTACAAATAGTAAACTAACACAACAATTCTCTGACAACAAAGATTGATACTATAAATCACCTAATCAACAAATATAAAAGTACCCTGTCATTCTACACCTTAAAACTTTCATGTTTACTGAAAGACAACTTTGTCAAAAAGTTAACGGTTAAAGTCAGCCCCAGCTGACCTCCACTTTGTGGCAACTATACGACAAAGCATTCGTGGTGACACCAGCCACCATGCCGTGACAAGAAGATTTTCACGTTGTGGGAACTGTTCTCCCATAGCCTAACAAATTAAGCTCTTAATCCTTAACCTCATGAGCTATAAGTCTCGTATTTGAACCTTTCCAAGGTCTTGATGGATAAAGTTTCCAACTTTATCCATTAAGACATCCCACTAAGCCAATATCTTAAATCCTAGCTTCTTAATGGTTGCATCCATTGCATTGGCACTAAACTAAGACATGAAAGTCTCATTTCTAACCACCACCATGGTCCACAACTCGAATAAGGCACATAAGGGTTCTGAAGTTCAATCAAACTCCAAGAACAAGAAGATATGGACAAAAAAGCTCATAAAATGACCTAGAGCTAGATATAGAGATTTAATGAGCAAGGTGAAGACTTTATACCTCCAAAATGCCAAAAATATGATGAGGATGCAAGATCAAAGTTGGATCCAAGCGAATAAGCACCAAAATGAACTCCTTATTCCTTTAATCTTCATAAAAGTGGATTCAAACACATATACACACCAAATACATATATTGAGGCTAGGGTTTGGATATGATAGGATCTTAGAGGGTGGAGGCTGCCAAATAAGGAAAACCTTAGGAGTTTGTGCATTTAAATAAGGTACAACACGAAGATCTAGGGTTTCTACCAAAAATAGCCACCATGTCGTGGACAAAACCTTGCCACGTCGTGGCATCAATTGCGAATGTACACCCCATTTCGACAATACCACATCGTGGGCAAGCCAAAAATCCTTATAATTAGAATCTTAATTAAATTAAACATGGAAGAAGCATACCTGGAAAAACAAATGTTACAATCTCAGTGCATTAACATCACACTTGGTTTGGCCAATAGCATATTTTGGCATGCTCTTTAAGGTTGAGCGTATTTTGGCATGCTAACATCTCATTTGGCAAAAGTCTAATACATTTGGTGAAACTCAAACATTTTTGGCCAAATGCCCCACCATATTTGTAACTGATGGGTTTTGAGCATTCTAACACTTCCTAAGTGTACATGCAACCCTAATAACCTTGGATCTATGTTTGTCTAATTATCATGCAAAGTTGAATTCCAAGGTTATATTCCTATCTAGCATACATGGGGAATAATTTTAACTTAAAGTATAGATAGAATAACTTACCTTGTTGTTGTTTGTGTTCCTTGAAACCTTGTGAGCCTAGCACCCCAAGTGTGATGCCTCAAATGCTTCACACAACACCAAATGCTCTTGGAAGAACTTATGAGAGAACACACACTTCTCAAAATCGGCCAAGCCCTCTTGTTTCTTAGTGTATATCCAATTTTAGGTGGAGAACATGTTTCTTATATAGTGTTGACACATCTAGGGTTAAACCCTAATGTGTCATGACTCTTCATTTCCATGACCCATGGGTTTGTAACTCCCATGGAGCATCCAATGGGTGGAACCCAACTTGATAATCCATGGAGCCTCTTAGCCCACTATACAAGATATGGATGATTTACATAATCAACCCATATATTTAATTAGTTATCTTTTGATCACATAATTAATTCTAAATTAATTCTTGATCAAACTAATCAAATAATATTATTAATATATTAGAACTTATAATATATTAATAATCTCCAAGTGTTATTTCTCTCTTTTAGTCTATCCAATTGCATGGTGCCATGCAACCCAAATGGACCATGCCGGGTCGGGTCAAGTACATACCAGAAATAGTTATGGACTTAGACACCTTATCCAACAGTAACATCCCAAAAAAATCATGACCAAAAATTTCTTTAAAAATATTACTAAATCATAGCATTAGATCATTTCAAACATACTGAAAGGGTTATATGACAAATCAGAGTATTTTTCCCAAAACACTTATTCATTTTATCAGAGTAAACATCCCAGGCTAAACTCCTTGGTGTGTGCCATGCGATCATCCCGAGCTCTTCTTTCCGCTATCGGAAGTACCTGAAACCAAAACTAAAAACCGTAAGCACGAAACTTAGTGAGTTCCCTAACCTACCACATACCATACATATCTACTAATCCACACATGCCATATACAACCGTGAGCATATAAGCACATACTAGGCCCCCGCCCGTTGCATTGGGCCTCGCCCGCCATCGAACCCCATCCGTTGTCAGGCCCCGCCTGGCATCAGGTCCCACCTAGCATCGAGCCCCGCTCGGTATACATATATGTTTCCCTTAGACCCCGCCTGTCTATGAGCCTCGCTCGCCATACACATACATACAATTAAATAACATAATGAAACATACATAAACATTCCCTAACCATAGCTTGATCTAAGGCCTCACCTAACTTGGGCCCCGGCCCTAGTCTGCTACTGAAGTAGTGGAACCCCATCCACACTCCTACTAGTAGTGAGATACGGTCCCCGCCCACACTCACATCCTTCCTACCACGGGCCTCACCCATGTTTTGCTAATATCAAGATATGGAACCTCATCCATACTCAGCTAGCGATGGGATACGGGACCTCGCCCACACTTACCTCCCTACAAGGATCTTCCTCGGGAATACCCCAACATCGGATCCCCAGCCCGGAAACATACTATTATCTAACGTACTTCGGGCTTACCCCGACATCAGACCCTTGGTCCGGATCCTATCATACCGACACATGCAGGAATCACAAAGACCTCCAGCATCCTAACATTCCTCGGGCCTCGCCCGACATCAGGTCGTAACCTGGAACATATATCAATAAGTTCCTAAGGCTACCCCCGGGTCTTCCTTCTATATATAATCATAAACATAAACATTAACATAATGGGCCGACATTGTGTAACGTCCGTAGATCCGGGCTAGTCAATTTAGAGACAATAGGGGTTGAAAACAACTTTTTGACAAAAGATTATTTAGAATAAATAATCTTAACCAAGTTGTAGTATATTTCACAAGGATTCCATACATATAAAGAACACCGAATTCCGAGTTATAACGAAGAAGTTATGACCCGTCGAAGTTTCGCAACAGAACTGACACGATACCGGGAAATGTAAATAGTGAATCTACGATAGAGCGAGATTTAGCCTTAGCAATATAAACGAAAGTCATAGTGTATGTTAAACTAAGAGCGTCAATTAAAAGAACGCCCAAATCTGACTTCGTATGAGGAAGTTATGATTTTTCGAAGTTTCGGATTAGCAGTGTACAACCCGAAATTCGAATAATACATCGAGAGGTTTTTAGCCAACACGACCTAAACGAGAATCGAAGATCACGCTAAGAGTAGCGTAACGAGAAAAAGATGAGCGAAAACGGACGTCGGATGAAGAAGTTATGGATTTTAATGGACCAATCCCGTCTCGGCCTGTTAATAATATAACTTTTAAAATAAAGTCAAAATTAGCCAACGGAGTCTAAACGAAAGTTGTAGAATATGTTCCCACCTTCTCGTGGATATAAAGAACGTAAAAACGGAGCTCGTATGAAAAAGATACGAATTTTAGAAGTTGGCACTCGATTTTGCGAGACCTGATGCGAGTTAGGCGATGTGGCTCGGTCTGAGCCGTCCGATGAAGCCCAGCCTCGCGTCCGATGATCGACACATTGCTCCTTCGCTACGCCCCGCGTCCAAGATTGGGTACGCCCAGCATTCCTCGGTCTTATCCGGGTCCTGTCCGAGTGCGAGCTAGCTGTGCGAAGCTGGCAACCTTATCCGGGACTACGCCCAGTGTAGCTGCTATAAGTTTTTTTTTTCATATCTGAAAGTTATAAGTTTTTTTTTTCTTCATAATTTATACTAAATATGCTATTTTTGAGCTAAAAAAATATGATTTTACCACATCTAAATTAGGAATGTAATATATGCATGGATAGCGTTACAAATAACACAACTAAAATTGAGTTTGTATACGAAATTTATAAATGATCAAAATTGAATGTTAGTTTTCATATTTTTCACAGAATAACCTACTACTTTAGATTTGAAAAGTTATTAATTTTGACATCTAAATTTGGAATATAATATTGTCCATACAAATCTATTGTTACAAATAATACATTTTAAAAAAATCATAAGAAAAAATTATCAAGGTTTAAATTTTGGAAAAAAAATTAAAATTTTGGTGTCACCAACCTACAAAAATATTAAGTCACCTGCAAAAAATTTTGAATTTTTGGGCTACTTTTTTGAAAAACCCTTAAAAAAAATACTGGCATTATGATATTCTCATGAGTATATTACAAAATAAATTTATCGTTTAAAAACACAATTTTAGTCCCGAGTTCCGAGTTCCGAGTTCTGACCGATGTAGGCGCCGTTGCGCTATGTTATGAACGGCAAATTGCGCGGTTGTGCACCAACGGCCTCTCACAACCTTACTCCACCTGACTTCGCCAGCCTCCGAAACCCGCTAATGTCGACGATCGTGTTGTTCCAATCCAATTTTAGAAAGTGCTCAATGCGTTTGCGAAGTTTCGGAACGTCAAAACAGACCAGATAATCGAAATTAGGTATGCAGCTCTCATGTTTTGAATTTTGATAGCATTAAACCCTACTTAAAAGTAATGAATCGAAGTCCAGTGAATCCAACCCTTCTCAAATCAGTTCTTAAAATCCATCACTTGTCAAACGCTGCTTTTTCATCCCTACAGACTTTACCCAATTCTAAAACAGATTCATTCCTAAACCCACTCTACAATTTTCTCCCTCACACCCAAAACCCTAGCAAAATCGTTGATACTATATGCACAAATCTCAAAGAAAGAAGAACCGCTCTTCTTGAGAAAGACATGATCCCTCATCTGGGGACCGAAGAAGTCTCAAGAGTTCTTCTTAGATGCCAATCTGATCCGTTTGCAGCTCTTACCTTCTTCAATTGGGTTAAAAACGATCTAGCGTTTCTCCCAACTATTCATAACTATTGTCTTATGTTGCATATATTAGCTTGGTCTCGCAAGTTTCCACAGACAATGAAGCTTTTCTCCGAGTTAATAGAGCTCAACAGGAATAAACCTGAAAAGGCAAGTATTTTTGAAAATTTGGTTCTGTGCACCAAAGATTGTAGCTGGGAACCAGTTGTATTTGATATTCTTCTCAAGGCATACCTAAAGGCTGGTTTGGTTCGCGATGGTTTTGTTACTTTTAGGAAGATGTTGAAGCTTGGTTTTGTCCCAAAAATCATTTCTATCAACTTTCTTTTAGATGGGCTTTTGAAGTTGGATCGAATCAATGAATGCTGGGGAATTTATGAAGAAATGGGGAAAATCGGAGTACGTGGTAACACGTTTACTTTCAACATATTAACTCATGTTATATGCAAGAGTGGTGATGTTGATAAGGTGAATGGGTTCCTAGAGAAGATGGAAGACGAAGGATTTGATCCTGATATTGTCACATATAACACATTAATAGATAGCTATGTCACAAGAGGACGATTAAAAGATGCACTCTATCTTTATAACATCATGTGTATAAGACGTGTGATGCCAGATTTGATTACTCATACATCTCTGATAAACGGGCTTTGTAAACAAGGTAATGTAAAGGACGCTCATAAGTTATTCCACAAAATGATTCAAATAGGGATAAACCCAGACATATACTCATACAATACTCTTATATGTGGTTACATTAACAAGGAAATGATGCAAGAATCACGCATGTTGCTTCATGAAATGATCAGAAAAGGGGTCACCCCTAACAAGTTCACTTGTTTAGTACTTATAGAAGGATATAAAAAGAAAGGAATGTTGATTTCAGCTGTGAATCTTATTGTAGAGCTTCAAAGATTTGGAATATCAGTATCTAGAGATCTTCAAATTGATCTAGTCATTGCTTTGTGCCAGGTGGATAAACCTTTTGCAGCCAAGAGTCTATGGGAACGCATAGTGAAAGATGGTGAAGAAACTTGTATGATTAAAATCTACAATGAATTGATCGTTTCATTTTGTAAATCTAATTATGTAAATGAGGCTATACAGATAAAAGACGAGATGTTTTTCAAGAATGTGAACCCAAGTTTTGTCACATATGGAGTAATCATAGAGTGTTTGTGTAGACTAAAAAGAACCATGGAGGGTGAAGCTTTCATGAGGGATATGATTGAAGTAGGCATCCAGCCTGATATGACAATATTTAAATCTTTGATTTTTGGGTATTGTAAAGAGAAGAATCTGAATCAAGCTGAGTCATTATTGATCTTGTTTGCAGAAGAGTTTCAAGTATGTGACAATGAATGCTATAATGAGGTTTTTAAAGGGTTTTGTGAGAAAGGTGATATGGGTAAGTCAATGGAATTTCAGAAAAGGATGCAAAAGATTGGATTCACTCCAAATAGTCTGAGTTTTAAGTACGCAATTGATGCCCTCATTGTCAACTCTAGCATGATTCATACATATTAATTTATATCATGTATTGCACCATTTTGTTGCACACAAGGCACTTATATGTATACACGACGACTTATTCATCTAAATTTATGTACATATATGCGTTTTATCATTTACATAATATCTACCAAACCAGAATTGAGTCACTAACAATGGGACATATCTGAATCTTGATCCCAATTCACTAACCCTTAGTGCTCATTGTCTTGACAGGAGTTTGTTTCCAATAAATCCGACCTCCTCCATTCATATCTTTGCTTTCTTTGGGCATAAAAACCGCATTTCTTGCTGTCTTCTGTGTAGGTGGTGGGGCCCACTGTCCAGAACTAATAGCCATATCTTTCAAATTCTTAACACCTTCAAGGGTCTCAATGATCACAGGCATTTTGGGCCTATCTTTAGGGTTCAAACTCACGCAATATAAGGCTAAAAGGGCAACCTCTTTGGCTCCTTTAACCGAATATTGTCCACCCAACCTTGGGTCAATTATTGCACGCACCCTTCGGCTGCTAGTCAAATATGGCCTTGCAAAGTCAACAAGATTTTGTTCGCTTTTTGGTCTCTTTTTATCCATTGCCCTTCTTCCTGTCAATAGCTCTAACAACACCACTCCAAAGCTGTAAATGTCACTCTTTGTGGTCAAGTGCCCTACAATAATTTAACATATCGATATTTCATTAGCAATAGAAATGAATTGTAATAATTTGTCCCACATCGATTAAACAAATTAGAATTGTAAGCCTCTTAGGGCATCTCCTGCTCAACACCATTCATTATTGTAATAAAAAAAAAGATGTGGGTTAGATTTGTAAAATACTAACAAACATAAGGGTTGATTTTAAAAATATATGAAAGTTGGTAAAATGAAGATAACTAGAGTATCTTGTATTCTTGTGTATTCGGTTTAAAAAGCCCGAACCACACTTTATTTGGGTTAGCGGGTCTGGGTTTTTCGGATGCAGTTCAGTTGGTAGTGTTCGGTTTACAGTTTGCTGATTTTTATTTGGAGCCCTCCCGAAACCCGAATAAGAGGGGCAGTTGAAAGAAGTTCATATGATTCCATTCCTTTTGGCTTTTGAGTGACGTCAGCATAATAAAAATAATGAACTTGCTTTATTACTTTAAATTTTTTATATAATTATTTATCTTATATATCTCTGTCATTTTGCTAAATTACTTCAATTGAGCACCGCCCCTAATCTCAATTATTGATTTGCTTAAATTACTTCAAATTTGATATAGCACTATTAATTACACCAAAACATAACATATTTTATCTTAATCTTGACTAATAAATTCTCACTTTATGTTAATTTATCTAGTCATTTAATATTAAATATAAAAAGTAATAACCTAGTTTACACCAAAAAAAAAATCATTAGAGAGATCTTACCAGTGTTGACATATTCAGGGGCAGCATATCCATAGGTGCCCATAACTCTAGTAGTAACATGAGTGTTCGATCCTTCTGGACCCATTGTTGCCAGCCCAAAATCAGATAATTTCGCATTAAAATCCTGCCAATTTTCATGAGAACTGTTAAATCATGTCCATATTTGTATAATAATAATAATAATAATAATAATAATAATAATAATAATAATAATAATAATAATAATAATGTTGTAGCCTAATATAATTATATACATACGGAATCAAGTAGGATGTTGGATGTTTTGAAGTCACGATATATAACGGGGCTTTCAGCACCATGCAAGAACGCAAGACCTTTCGCCGCGCCTATTGCAATTCTTATCCTAATCCCCCATGCCAAACAAACCGAAATCCCTACGTAAATTTAACAACAAAATCCTTATCAATCATTACTCTACAATCCCTAAAATTTAACAACAAATCAATAATCAATAAATATTTATATAAAAAAAAAACTTACTCTTGAACAAATGATTCTCCAAACTTCCACGAGGCATAAATTCGTAAACAAGAAGCCTCTCTTCTTCTTCACAACAATATCCAATCAATTTCACCAGATTAGGATGCCTAAGTTGACCCAGAAATATCACCTCCGCCTTTAATTTTTTAAAACATATAAAATTATTATTATTTTTTTTTAAAAAGTAAAGAAAAGAAACCATTAGATTAAACTAATAGAGACGAATGAAAAGAAGAAGCTTACAAGCCATTCTCGATGACCTTGTAATCCTTCAATATCAAGAAGCTTAACAGCAACGGGTTGAGGTTTCAACCCGGATCTCATGGTTTCATCGACATAACCCTTATGCACTTTCCCGAACCCTCCTTCACCCAGCAAAAAATTACTCGAGAAATTCTGAGTTACACCTCGGAGTTCACTCAGTTTAAAATCAAACAAGTCTGGTCCGAAGCTCTGTATGTCTTCATTAAGACGCATAGAAGACGACCTGCTTAGATCTGAGAAAGACATGCGTCTGAAAGAAGGTGATGGGGCTACATTTTTCGAGAATTCCGATTTTGAGGGTCTGCAACGGCTGAAGCTGTGAAAAACCTTGTTTTCAGCCGAACAGCAGTAGGGTTTCCATGTAGTTTTTGGTGAGTCCTTCGCTTTCATGATTTTTATGGATGAAAATTGGTTAGTGAGTAATGGTGGTGTATAAGTAAGTGTTAATCTTGTGGGATTATCATTATCTTGATATAAATGTTGAAATTGCAACAACTCTGCAACCACTCTACTAAAATTGGATGCTTTGTTGCAGTCTTTTCTTTTGTAGGGGTATTGTTTATGTTACTAGATTTGTCATTTAGGTTTGTGGTCCATTTTATGTATATTTTTATAACTTTAGAGAAAACCCTTTTTTTTAGCCAATAATATGTGAACCTGAGTTACAAAAGATTTGGTACGTATATGAATGTGAATGTCAAGTACAGGTTAAAAGATTTGTTCCCTATTTATTAGGTTTTGACTTGTTTGTTGTGACCCTCTTTGTTTCTTTTACATGTCTAGGCTAGAGATTCAATTAATAGTCTCACCTAGATTTGTTTTTTACATGTCTAGGCTTGAGATACAAATATTATCAAGTGTAACTTTAAGGACGGAAGGAGTACCCCCATCTTATGGTATGGTGGGGGTGAATTTGAGCTTTCACCGCAATGCTGAACACGACACTCCTAGTGTGGTGAAACTTGAAAACGATATGAAGAACTATACCATTAGATTTTACTGCATTTTCTTTCATCTTTTTCTCTTCTTCAACCATTATAAATTTGATTTTAAAAAAAAAAAAACATTTACTACTTTATAAATACCAATCATTTTAACATTTTGTTTAGGATTTGGGCAAAATTCGGCATGATTTAGTATTTTAATTATTGTTATATTTTAATAATGTTTTCTTATTTTGGTTATGTAATTTTTATTTTTGAGCAATGGAATATTTTCATTAATTTTGTGTTTATTAACCATTTTAATTAATTTTTTCTTATTAAATTATAGTTTTTAATACTATAGTAATTTTATTTTATCAAAAAAGGTAAAATGAAGTGAAGTTTGACAATTTCCTGGATTTTAAAGAGTGAAATGAAAATAAGAAGAAAATAAGTTGGTGCTAAGGTGACAGTGAAATGTGATCACACCGTCGTCCGATATAAAGAAATCATTTGATATGTATAATTCTAACACATTGTTCATGTGTTCAACTTAACGAGAGAAAAAAAAAAAAAAACAGAAACAAGTGGAAGTAAGAAGAAAGTTAAAAAAACAAAGTGTTACTCGGTTTCATTCATGGAAGAAAATGGAAGAAAATAGTTTCCTTTCAATTTGGAAGGATTTACATAGAAACGAACAAAATGTTTAATTTTTTTTTTATTTATCTCCAACTCAATAACATAAAATACAATTATCCTGCATTTTTCTTTCTCTTATTTTCTCTCTTTATTTTCTTTCATCTTCTTTTTCTCTTCTTTGCTAAACCTTGGGAACTAAGCGTAACAAAATCATTTAATATTTATGGTCATTAACAATTGTTTATTGTAAATCATATTTTTTTGGAACGACAATTTTCTAGTCTACTCCTAAATCACTACTAATTTCACCTATGTTTTAAAAGGGACTTGAACCCTTAACCTCAAACAGAGCGAACAACACTTAATACCGTCTATAAGCCTTTGGAATAAACTGGAGGGTAGGTCAGCTCTCCAGATTCAGTTGGAATAAATTGGAGGGTAGGTCAGCACCCCATAACTGTCTGACATGGGTAGGTCGGGAACCCAGAATCGCCTAGCAGGGTAGGTCAGCATCCCATAACTGCTTGGCATGGGTAGGTTGGGCACCCCAGAATTGTTCGACAGTATGTTTGCTTTATGGTATGTGGTATGATGGGAGATTCACTAAGCTTTGTGCTAACGGTTTCACTTTTGGTTTAAGGTACCTCTTCGTTGAAGGGAAAGAAGTCGGCACGGTAGCAGCGCATCGCACACACTTGATTCCGCTTTTTAGAGATCCATGGGATTGTACTCTGACATTATTACTATTGATGATATGATTTTTGAAATTTGCGATTGTTGTTTTATGGATTGATATGTTATCGATAATGTTTTAAGTAAACTGTTTTATGAATAACATATTTAAAAACAAAATTTTTTATCATGATTTGGAGATGTTATATATATATATATATATATATATATATATATATATATATATATAAAGATTATTAATGCATTACATTTAGTTATGGTAATATTTGTGATATTTAATATTTTTTATATGTGTTCTTACGGTACATATTAGAAAAATCTCTCTCTCTCTCTCTCTCTATATATATATATATATATATATATATATATATATATATATATATATATATATATATATATATATAGGATATAGATCCGGTAATAAATTTTTTTTGGTAGGAAGGTAAGAAGTTTTTTTTCTACATATTTTTTTGACGAACAAAAAAAATGAATCACTAATTGATTCATTTGTAAGATGATTCATAAAAAAAAATTCTCAAAAAAACATCTTTATGATTCATTTTTAAGTAAATTAAGAAAAAATTTACTTTTATGATAATTTTAGTGAATAACAACAAAATCATTATATAAATGAATCATCAAGATGTTTTTTTGAGAATTTTTTCTTGTGAATCATCTTACAAATGAATCATCTAATGATTCATTTTGTTTGTTCGTGAAAAAAATATGTAGAAAAAAAATTTCTTACCTTCCTACCAAAAATTTCTTTCTTATTTGATCTTGATTCTATATATATATATATATATATATATATATATATATATATATATATATATATATATATATATATATATATATATATATATATATATATATATATATATATATATATATATCAATTTTCTAATTCAATTCATTTTTCAGAGGTGTACATGAGAATTTAAGTGGGTGAATATTTTAAATGACTTAGTGTTGCCACTTGTAATTAATTAACATTTAAATAGTTTATGTTAAACTTGGGTGGTTGAATACCAAATACATTTGAGGGCATTCGCAACCAACATGGATGTTGTTTAGCACAATTTTCAAACATGTGGGGTGCTTTTGGAATTAAAAACTCATGAAACGGGAAGAACGATTTCTTGCGAGAATTATCCCCAAAATATTAAACTTTTCATTTTTGGCCTTTTCTTGTTTGAGTGAGGCCATCAATGACACCAATGGTCAAGAATCCCATGCCATTATTGTTTACTTAATTAAGTATTCATCGATACTTGTAATCATATAATTTTTATTTTTGAATGAAAATTTACAATTATTTGATTCTAGTTTATCTAAATGTGTAATATTCATCATAATCTTAAATTTACATGTAATTTTAATCAAGTTATTTGTTATAAATAAGAAAATAATTAAAATATTAAATTTTTTGTCACAATGTAGTCGTATATATTACCTAATTTGTTTGGAATCCAGTTAAAATAAAATAACATATGATATTTTGTGTGTGTATTTGTATTATTATATATAATCAATAATATATTAATATACAGGTATAAAACGGATATAAAACCATATTTTTCTTATCCGTTTCTCATAATAAATAATATTTCTTTGTAAAAAGGTGCAATGAGACATGCATGGTCCCAAGTCGGCACCTATTTAATCTTGATTTTATAGAAGTACAATGAGAAAACATGACAATAAAAGCAAGTACACTATGATGACGAATCTCACAAACTTTACCATTATAATAGAGATAAATTTTATTCTATAATATTATCCTAAATGATAAATTATTTCTTTTAGAAAAAATATATCATTCAATATGATACGTAATTTAATACAAGTTTTTTTTTAATATATATATATATATATATATATATATATATATATATATATATATATATATATATATATATATATATATATATATATATAGAATCAAATATTTAAATTAAAAAGATAAGACTTTTTACAAAAACAACCATTGTTTATTTCTTTTTGTATAAATGTTGTTCTTATTTTGAGAGAACTCTTAACTCATTAACCGGTCATGAATGTTGAGGTCAAATTTACAAAAAGAAAATGAAATTTTCATTTGGATCGTTAGGTTTCAATATTATTTTTGAAAAAACAATATGATATAGTAGTTTTAATAATAATTAGAAACATGATTGGCATCCGTGGTTTAAGAAAAGTCTCATAGACAAATACATCTATCAAAACCAATGTTTTAAAAACCTGTTTTGAACTATTCAGTTTGTGAACTAAGAACGTAAACGGTTCAACAACAACCGGTTTTATGTTAATTTCTAGACCTGATCGGATCGTACGGTCAGGACCGGTCCATAGATATTTCATGCCCCCGGCAAAGGCACTTAAAAATGCCCTTATATTCCCTTATATTTGTACTAAACTAAAAAAATGTAAATTTATTAAACAAAATTGAATCATATTCTTTTAGTGCTCAAAGTATAGGCAATTTTTTTTTATCTAACAAGTATCAGTCTACAAAAAGGACAGCCATGTAATTTTACAAATAGTAAGAACAAAAAAGTTTTGTCAAAGTTACATTGGTTAAATCTTAAAGTATGTATGAATTCTTGAAATCGAGACCGGTTCTTCCATAAGCTCAAGTACAACATGCAAGCTTTTATGCATTAACAAGAGATTTGCTTCAACATCAAATCCACATTTGCAAATTGCTATTGTAGCATCAACATACTGAATCAAGAGAGAGGGAATTTTTTTTTTCCTTTTATCCATTTATTTCGTATTTACAAAAATACTCCAGCAACTAAACAATCATACATTTCTGCACAAGTAGGGAAAATTGAGATGAATACATATAAGTGTGATTTGAGCTAACTTTCAAGATTTGGTTGAATTGGTAAGTAAATAGCTCATTTTCATGAGTATACACAAGCAATGAAGATTAAGACAAATACACTTCTGTAAAAAAAAAGTGATCTAACAAATGACAAATCCTAATTCGTATATGTACATAAATTAAAACAAACAACCCTAACCTATAATTTATTATTATGAACCTCGTGTTTAAAGCCATCCATATCCTATATAAACATAAGATTAAAACAACAATGACAAAAAAACAATAACCAACAAACAAAATATTGCACTGATTATAGAAATGCTTATATCAAATTTTCAGAACTTCAGAAAATATCAGAAATGTTTATATCAGGGAAAAAAAAAAAAAAAAAAAAAAAAAAACAGACTTATATCACTAAATCATATATCAGAATTTTAGAAAATGGCATTACATCAGTCCTTGAAAAATAGAAATATCAAAATAACTTTTAGTCATGTGACTTTTAATGTTGTTTAGAAGAAAGGAATTAGAAAAACCTCAACCCTCACCTCTTTGTATGAAAGGAAG